CTAGAAAAGCAATATGTCAATCAATGGAAGGGTAACTGATGTGATACAGCAATCTGTATACGGGGTAAAGTTGGGAGTTCATAACCCACTTGAATCAAACTGTGAAAGATGATGTATTAAGAACTGTGTAATGTTTTGAACGACCAACAATAAAAAAAAATACTTTGAAACAGAAAGCATTGATTAAGGGAGTTTCTCAGAGAAACTTACTCAGTTTAAGAAATTTACTCAGTGCTATAGGGACACAGCTACAACAATGTTCATAGCAGCACAATTCACAATAGCTAGACCGTGGGACCAACCTAGATGCCCTTCAATAGATGAATGGATAAAAAGAATGTGGCATTTATACACAATGGAGTATTACTCTGCACTAAAAAATGACAAAATCATGGAATTTGCAGGGAAATGGATGGCACTAGAGCAGATTATGCTAAGTGAAGCTACCCAATCCCTAAAAAATAAATGCCAAATGTCTTCTTTGATATAAGGAGAGCAACTAAGAATAGAATAGAGAGGAAGAGCATGAGAAGATCACCACTAAACAGGGATGAGAGGTGGGAGGGAAAGAGAGAGAGAAGGGAAATTGCATGGTAAAGGAAGGAGACCCTCATTGTTACACAAAATTACATATAAGAGGAAGTGAGGGGAAAGGGGGACAAAAAACAAGAGAGAGAAATGAATTACAGTAGATGGGGTAGGGAGAGAAGACGGGAAGGGAGGGGATGGGAGGGGAGGTGAGTGGGGAGAGTAGAGGTTAGGAAAGGCAGCAGAATACAACAGACACTAGTATGGCAGTAGGTAAAAAAGTAGATGTGTAACCGATGTGAATCTGCATTATGTATATAGGGTAAAAATGGGAGTTCATAATCCACTTGAATCAAATGTATGAAATATGATATGTCAAGAACTTTGTAATGTTTTGAACAACTAATAAAAAAAAAGAAATACTATTAATGTTATAGATTGCAAAGTAACATCTATAATATTGATTTTGGTTTTGACCAAATTCTAGAATTTGAGTTTTTAATTGGGGAGCAGTTTAATCCCTTTATATTTCTTATAGTAACTGATGAAGAGTATTCTTATTTTTGTGATTTGTTTTTTTCTGTTGTATGCTGTTTTCTTGTCATTTGTATCATGCTTTATCTCTTATTTTGATTTTATATCCTATAGTGTTTAAAGATAGAAATCTTATTTTTAATTTGATTTTATAAATAATCAGTCTGATTTTTAAAAATAAATAAATTGCATTTGGCAACGAGGAACAATTAATAACTTTCAAATTCTTGTAGACATAAGAATTGTCGCCTACATTTTTTTTTATTCATTACAGTTCTTTATTTCCTACAGTTCATGATTTTCTCCTGAATAATATAGTGAGCCGAAGTTCATCCAGCAGACTCCCATGTACCTGGAATGGCCGGTGTCCAATCTCAGATCTCATTACTTTTAAAACTAGTAATATCACTGAGTATGGAACTGTATGATTACTATATTATAATAGATTTATAATTAAAACTATCCCTATTAAGCATCAGTTTTAGCTTTTATAATGTAGACTTGCAATCATGGTATCAAGAAAATCCCACACACACATCATATGCTTTAGGTTGCTGTCATTTTATGTGTCTTTCAGTCCTTTCATGCAAAACTAGACTGGAAACATTGGATAACACTTCTAAATTACTTGTTTGTTTTAGGTCAGTTTAATAGTAGTTCACTATCTTTTAAGATGAGAGAGAATACCTCATTGTTGCCTTTTGACATAAGGAACAACGTGACTTGGCAAGGAATCCTTTTTGTGTTTAAGGAAAGAAATATTTGAGAAGACAAGTGTTTAAGAAAAAAGTAAGCCTGATTATAGTTCACATTATGAAACTGATTTACTTTGCTGTTATGCATTTCTCCTTGCTCCTTAAAATGAAAAGCCTTGGCAGAACCTGACTAGTCGTCTTTTCCATTGCATTTATTCATTATTCAATAAGTCTATTTGTGTTACAGAGTCACACTCTCCTTTTGTTCAAGGACAACTTGTACATCACCTTCAATACTTGCCTCTATTTGTATAATATGAGCTTCTTTCTTTAGAATAAATAAAAATTTGGCTTAATCTCTAAAAAGAAAAGAAATTTACTCAAATGTCATGTATAACAAAAGGAAGTGGACTCAGCAAACTAGGAATAAACAGAAACTACTTCACATAATAAAGGCCATAGGTCAACTCCATAAATAATAGACTGGATGGTGGGCTGGAGTTGTGGCTTAGCGGTAGAGTGCTTGCCTAGTATGTGGGAAGCCCTGGGTTCAACCACATGAAAATAAATAAATAAAAATGAAGGTATCGTGTCCAACTACAACTAAAAAATAAATATTTAAAAAAATATATGGGCTGGTGTTGGGGCTTAGTGGCAGAGTGCTGGCCTGCACACGTGAGGCACTGGGTTGATCCTCAGCATCACATAAAAATAAACAAGATAAAGATATTGCATACATCTATAACTAAAAAATATTTTATATTTATACCCAAAGGACTTAAAAACAGCCTACTACAGGGACAGAGCCATATCAATTTTTATAGCAGCACAATTCACAATAGCTTAACTGTGGAACCAACCTAGATGCCCTTCAGTAGATGAATGATCGGATAAAAAAAGGTGGCATATATACATAATGAAATATTACTCAGCAATAAAAGAGAACAAAATCGTGGCATCTTCAGGTAAATGGATGGAGTTAGAGAAGATAATGCTAAGTGAAGTTAACTAATCCCCCAAAAAACAAATGCCGAGTATTTTCTTTGATATAAGGAGTCTGATTCATAGTGAGATAGGGAGGGAAGCATGGGAGAAATAGATGAACTCTAGATAGGGCAGAGGGGTTGGAGGGGAAGGGAGGGGGCATGGGATTATTAATAATGGTGGAATGTCATGGACATTATTATCCAAAGTACAGGTATGAAGACACAAATTAGTGTGAATATACTGGGTATACAACCAGAGATATGAAAGATTGTGCTCTGTATGTGTAATAAAATTGTAATGCATTCCACTGTCATATATAAATAAAAATATTTTCATAAATAATATTTATATATTATATATATTTTATTTTTTTTAAGTTATAGATGGATGCAATATCTTTATTTTGTTGGGAAAATACCAGAAGCTTTTCCTTTAAGAACAGCTTATTTCTTTTCATCACTTCTAACTCACATCATATTCAAAGTCCTAGCCAGAGCAATTAGAGAAAAAAAGAAAAAAAAAAAAGGATCCAAATTGGAAAAGAAGATAGATTATTTCTGTTCATAGATGATGTGATCTTTTATTTATTTATTTATTTTTATGTGGTGCTGAGGATAGAACCCAGGGCCTCATCGGTACTAGGCGAGCGCTCTACCGCTGAGCCACACCCTCAGCCCAGATGCTGTGATCTTAAATGTAGAAAACTCTAAATACTTAACAAAAACAACAAAAATGTTAACACTACTAAATCCAGCAAAGTGGTAGGACACAAAATCAACACATAAGAATTAGTTGTGTTTCTCTACCCAGCAAATAATCCCCAAAAGGAATTTAGGAAAATAACCTCTTTTACATTAATATCAAATGAGTAAAGTACTTAAAGATACTTAAGAAGGTGAAAGATATGTTGTATACTGAAAACCACAAAACACTGCTGAAAGAAATTAATGACATTTTTTATGACTGTTTCCTCCAAAACTTAGGTTGAAGTTTAATTGCCTTTGCAACAGTGTTGAGAGATGGGGCCTTTAAGAGGTGATAAGTTCATGAGGGCTCTGCCTCAAGCATGGATTCATTCCATTATTGCAGAAGCAGGCTTCTGATTGCAGGATAAATTCACCTTCAGCTGCTCCCCATCCACTCTTTTCCCATGTGGTACATTCTGCTATGTTATGTTGCTGCAAGAAGGCCTTCACTAGATGTGGCCCTTCAGTTTTGTATTTCCCAGTCTCCAGAACTGTGAGCCAAAGAAGCTTCTATGGTTTATAAACTACCCAGTCTGTGGTATTTTGTTATAAGCAGCAAAAAATGGATTAAGTCAACATCAATGAAAGGAAAAACATCCTATGTTCATATGGAAATTCAAGGGAGCCCAAATGACCAAAATTCTTGAAAAAAAAAAAGAATAATAAAGCTAGATATCTCATGCTAACTGATATCAAAACAGTACAAAGTGATAGTAATCAAACACTATGATACCGGCATAAAGACAGACATGCAGAGCAATGGAATAGGAGGCAGAGCCCACGAACAAACCCACACATAAATAGTCAAATGATTTTTGACAAGAGCGCCCAGGGCTATTCTATAGGGAAAGGAGAGTCTTTTCAACAAAGTGTGTTGGGAAAACTGAATATTCACAACCAAAAGAAAACAGTTAGACTTTCATCTATACCATATACATAATTAACTCAAGATTGGTCAAAGGCCTCATCATCAAACCATAAATCTCCTGGAAGGAAATAGGGGGACAAGTTTTATGATTTTGGATTTGGCAATAATTTCTTTATTATGGCAGCAAAAGCATAGGAACAAAAAAATTGTAAGAACTGGATTATATCAAAATGAAAATCTTATGCATCAAAGGACAGTATAACAGAATTAAAATATAAATAAAGGGCTTGCAAATCTTATATCTGAAATGGGGTTAATATCCAAAATGTATGCAAAGAGCTCCAAAAAATCAGTTAACAACAAAATAATTCAATTAAAAGATGGGCAAAGGACTTGAGTACATCTTTCTCCAAAAAACCATACAAGTGATTAATAAACACATGAAAAGAAACTCAGCATCACTAATCATTAGAGAAATGCAGATGAAAACCATAAGGAGGTTCAATTTTATATCCATTAGGATGTCTATTATCAAAAAACCAAAATTATTACGTGTTTGGAGGACATAAAGAAATTGGAACCCTTGTGCACTGATAACAGAAATGTCAAATGGCTCAAATCCTATGGAAAATAGAATCAAAGGTGGAATAAAAATGGAATTGCCATATTATCTAGCAATTCTACTTCTGGGAGTATACAGGTGGTCTCTGACTTAACATGGTTCGACTTGCGATTTTTCACTGTATATAGCATAAAAGCAATTCACCTTTGAATTTTGATTTTGGTCTCTTCTTGGGTCAGCAGTATGTAGTATGATAACTGTAGTGAGCTGCAGCACCCATGCATTCACAGGGTAAAAAAAGGATAGTCTACAGTGTATAATGTTGGTAAATGATGCTGTGTAGTAGTTTATGTGTATTAAGTGCATTTTTTAACTTATGATATTTTCAATTTATGATGGGTTTATTGGGATGGCATATAACCTTATTGTAACTGAGAAACAAAGAATTAAAAGTAGGAACTCAAACAGGTATCTGTACACCCATGTTCACAACATTATTATGCACATAGCCAAAAGGTAGATGCAATCCCTTTCCATTAATTGATGAATGAATAAACACAATGTGTGGTATATAGGTACAATGAAATATTATTCAGCCTTAAAAAGGAAGGAGATTCTGACACATGCTACAAGATGAATAAAATTTGGAGACATCATGATAATTGAAACAAGCCAGCTACAAAATGACAATTACTGAGTGATTTCAACTGGATGAGGTACTTAGGCTAGTCAAATTCATGGAGATGGAAAGTAGAATGGTAGTTTCCCAGGGCTGTTGGGGAAGGATGAATGGGGATTTAGTGTTTCATGGTTACGGAGTTTCAGTTTTGCAAATTGAAAAAAAAAATTCTGGAGGAGGTTGGTGGTGATGATTACAGACCAATGTGAATGTAGTTGATGCCATTCAACTGTACACCTACCAATGGCTAATTTTACCTTATGCTTATTTTATCACAATTAAAAACATAATAAAATAAAGCAATGAGGTGGGGGAAATTAATAGAAGTCTTACAATTGTGACAGCTCCTTCAGATCCTTAAATATACGTGGTGGAAGATTTTCAATCTTATTACAACCTAAATCCCTAGGGAAACAATTGCAAACGTTATTTTCTGAAGATTTTATTTGTTGTTCTGATGTATGTTATGAAATCATCATATAACTTCTCAACAATGTTGTTGGTGAGTTGTGTTAATTCACAAAGTTTAAGAGTGTATTTTTGGTGCTGGGGATTGAACTTAGGGGCCTTTTGCATGCTGAGCCTATGACTTACCACTGAGCTAAACCCCCAACCCTGTGAAGCCAAAGTGACTTTAAAAAATGCATAAAATGAGAAAATATTTCACAAATATTTTATCCCATTTCAGCACTTCATCAGAAACAAATACTTACGATTATTTAATCTGGTTTTAATAGTTTCAACGTTCTGAGTTTTCACTGTACAATAGTGTAAAAGCAATTTACCTTTGAGTTTTGAGTTTGGTCTCCTCCTGGGTCAGCAATATATGGTATGGTACAGCAGTGGGCTGCAGCACCCAGTCGGCCATGCAGTCACAAGGGTATGTATGTATCACAATCTTTATTCCTCCCCTTCCCTTCTTTTTGTGTTAGAGTAAGAATATGGTTTGGAGTCTTATTTTTTTTCCTTCGGCTTGAGTTTATTGTGATTATCAAATGGAAGTCTATTATTTCAAAAGCAAGTTTCTTTCCCGGTGAAATGCATGGGATCTCACATTCTCCTGGGTAGGATTCTTTGTGATCTCATGTATGTCTAGGAAGTCTCCCTAATAGGGTATGACCCTGAAGCTTAGTTGTAAGGTTTTAACTGCAGAACCTCTCATGGAAGCTTTGACAGTGGCAGATTCCATGAGAGAGGACTCAGATTCTTGGAAACAAGAGACAGTTTCAGCAAACTTGAGCTCTCTAAGGTGATGGGGAGACGGAAAAGGAAGCCTACCCATTTCCCCTCTCCACCTCCAAATTAGTTACCATGGTGATCGATAGGAGAACAGATTTACTTGTTACCTATACTTGTTGGTTTATAAATCAAAATTCAGGTTACTCAACTTTGGGGTCAGGATGATTTTAGGTAGAGTTCTAAACACTAAAAGTAAGTGGATAATATAATCTGACAAATGCTATCAATGCCTTTGCCGTGAATGCCTGTTTTCATACTGCAAACTAAACCTGGAGACTATTTTTGTCGTTTACATATTTATGGGCAAATTGTCTATGCAGATGAGTTGTTCTGCTTTGATGATCAAATGAATCTTTCTAAAATTTCAATTCCTTTCATAAAATCTCACAGCAGCTTCTTGTTGCCTAGATGATAAATTCAAAACTGCTTGGTGTGACATGAGATGTATATCAATATCTGTCATCCTGACGTCAGTCTTTCCAATCTCCTTTCCCATCACTTGCTATTCACTGTAACTTACACCATGGTCTGAAAGCACTTCGGTGTTCCGACCTCTGCACTTTGGCCTGGGTGCTTTTCTTTTGCCTATCCTGGCCTTTCCTCCTTGCCCTTTTGGTGATCTCAAATCATCCTTCAAGATTCCATTCAAATGACATTCCCTTTTAACCTCCAGTGCCCAGGAGATTAGGTCTTCTGTCCCTATGCATTCTCCTACATATTCTATCCCAGCACACATGGCACATATGGTACATGGAACATCAGGTGAACATTGCTTTCGTATACACGTCTGCTTCCCTTCTGAAAGATTTGTGAGCCCCTTGAGGATATGAACTATATCCATTCAGTGTGGGCTATCCCGTGCCTCACTCAGTTTTAGACTAGCTGTTTTTTCCATCCTGGTAAGAAGACTCTTAATAGGCTGAGTCTGCTTCATATTTAGGTAAGAGTTGATATGATTAAGTTCCTTGAGCAGGAAGCCAAGTAAAATATTGATCATCTTAGAAAGGCGACGTGCAAAATTTAAAGTAGTCCTCTAGGGTATTAAAACTCAAAAAAATACGTTTAACAATTTCTGGTGGAAGTGTGGGTTTTGGCTATCAGAGCAAATTCTAATATATAGTTTTTATAGCGGGATTTATGTAATGAGATAGTATTGGCCTCAATCCTAAGTGACATGTAAAAGTTTAATTTTCTTAGCTTTAGTTTAGAACAGCTGGGATAAACTTAATTGGACTCAAGGTTCATTTCTGAATGGGTTCCGGAAACATCTACTGTAGTTGTTGACTTTATTTATTTATTATTATTATTATTTTTTTGGGTGCTGGAGATTGAAACTCAGGTCTCACCCATGCTAGGCTAGTGCTTTGCTACTGAGCTATGCTCCCAGCCCATTAGCAGTTAACTGTAAACCATAAATAAAAGTAAGCACATGGCAAAGATTTCCTATCACAGGAATAAGTTAAAGTCCTCTGTGACAAGTGAATCCTGTGTTGTCAATATATTTACCTTCATTAGCTCTATTGATGTGATAAGGGCCTGGAGGAACACACAGTAGAGCCCAACCCTCCTATGAAGGGGAAGTTGAGACCTAGACTCATCCATTAAAAGCTATCACTTCTTAGAAACCTTGCCATTTTTCTCCTTATAAATCTGGATTTTCAAGCAAGTGTCTACTATGGGATCGGGCAGGCCACAGGTAGGACTCATCATTGGCCTGTTACCCTCTTTGCAGCTTTGGTTATTCTTTCTTTTACCTCTGAACCTAGATTAGCACTGGTTATGGACTAAGCTATTTGTGTTCCATATTCTCGGTCTTTAGGGATGTATAAAATCTGCACCTGGTTGCCACCATGAAGACTAGGTTGTGTAGTAATTGTCCTCTAGTGCTTTCAAGTTGGATAAAACAGGAGAAATATGGATCCCTTGACTAGCTTGTATTTTAACAGTTAAATAATATCTTTGGATCATCTAGATGGATTTTCCCTGTTACTGAAAATAATTTCCTATGTGCTGATGATAAGGTTCAGTTGCCATATGCCAGAAGTCCTCACAACAGGCCTTGGTTCTAATTATCTATTGAGATTTTCTTGCATGTTTGTGAATGATTGGGTATTGCCTACTAAAAAGTGTTTCAAGCTAATAATTACAGAAAAATGTTGGATTTTTTTCTTTCCTTCTTCCCCCCTCCTTCCTTTATTTCATTCATACTGGGTGTTAAACCCAGGAGTACTTTACTACTGAGCCATATCCCCATTTCTTTTTATGTTTTTATTTTGAGACAGTGTCTTGCTAAGTTGCTGAGGGTCTCGTTAAGTTGCTGAGGCTGGCTTCGAACTTGTGATCTTCCTGCCTCTGGAGTCACTGGATTGACAGTGTCCTACTAAAAATGTTCGGTTTTCAATGGCTTGTTTGAAAGTGTTTTGAAGCAGAATGCAAGATTGTTTTCTGATGAATGCTCCTGCTCAGGAATAGGTATTCTCTCTAGCTGTTTCAGTACTTAGCTTAGGTATCCAGGTGTCATTTCATAACATTCTAGTTATGTTCATTATGTTTCATGGAAAAACTTTAATAAACCAGTATTTTGCCCAGATAATTGTCAAAACACATAGATCTGTCCATACTTTGGATTTTTTCCCCAGAAAATTGATATTAAAAAATAAACATTTTTTTTTCTGAAGGGTGTGCACTTCATTCATTGTTCCATATTTGTTTGATCTTGACAACCAACTATTCTGTGGTTGGGCCATAAGGCTTTGCTTCACCTTTAGTCATTGGTATTCAAGCAGAAACATTATAAAAATACTTTTAAAATTATCTCTTTCTTCTGTTATTATAGATAGGGATGTTATTCATGGCAGTATCTAGTTTCCTTCTGAATCCAAGGTTATCCTTTAGTTTCAGAATCAGCAAATTGAGGACTTTTAGTCTTTTTTTTTTGTACTGGAGATTGAATCAAGGGCTGCTTTACCACTGAATCACTTCCCAGCCCCCTTTTTTTTGAAGCTCTCGCCTAAGTTGCTTAGGGCATCACTGAGTTGCTGAGGCTGGTCTCAAATTTGTGATTCTCCTCTCTCAGCTTCCTTAGCCACAGTAATAACAGGTATGCACCACCACGCCCAGCTGGGGTCTTTTAATCTTATGATCCCCGAATACTAACCCTCTAGGAAACTTAAATACAAAATTGTGTCCCCTTTGAAACATTGGAACACGGTGGTATAGAATATATTTATTTATTCATTTTTTTCCCCTGGCCTTATACTTTCTCTACAGCTGTGTTTCCTTTATCCCACTTTTCTCAAATATTTATTTCATGTTTATTTTTGCAAGCCATCTGAATTCCTTTGTGACCCAAGGTACATATAAATAATGTTCAGAGAGGATGTTAATATGTTTAAAATATTTTCATGTCTAACAAATATGAAATAAAATAATGGGTAAAAAATTCTTAACAATTCTTTTAGTCAAACTTACAATTCATCTAGTTTCTGGAGATGTGCAAAACTATTTTCACTTAAGTGATTAATTTTGTTTTTCCTCATTACCCTGAAATAAAAAAGAAAAATACATTTTTACACTCTGAGGTACTTATTGCTTAAATTACTAAAGACATTATCAGTATGCAAAGATAAAGGTAATGAATATACAGTGCATGTTTCGCATGAGATATTTTGAAGTAGTATGATTAATGATCTAATTCAATTTTGATATAAAGTTCCCAAATTATCCCTCCATCTCTCCCTACTTCTCTTTTCATTCGTCCTTTCTGTGCTGGGGATTGAACAGAGGACCTGTTGCATGTTGGGCATGTGATCTACCAGTGGGCTACATCCCCAGGCCTGCCATCCCAAATCTTTTAATGAGGATAATAAAATATACTTCTAATTTTTTTTTAAAAAATATTTTTCTTACTTGTAGATGGACACAATACCTTTTATTTAACTTTTTTTTTTTTAAATGTGGTGCTAAAGATGGAACCCAGTGCCTTCCACATGAGAGGCGAGTGCTCTACCACTGAGCTACAACCCCAGTCCTATACTTGTAATTTTTAATTAGAAGTATAATTATAAACATAATACTCTAAGCATGCTTACTCATTTGGAAGTTGATGGGATTTAGGGTGGAGCTGAGTAAGGAAGGGAAAGTGATCTAAGTTAGATGATATCAGAAGAGTTTGCATGCTGAATGCTGAATCAGACTGTAACTCTTGATGGTTTCTTTTCCTTCCTCCCTCCCTCTCTCCCTTCCTCCTTCCCTTCCTTCCTTCCTTCCTTCCTTCCTTCTTTCCTTCTTTTTTTCTTTCTTTTTTTTGGGTGCTGAAGATGGAAGCCGGGTATTGTGCATGCTAAGCACACTCTTTACCACTGAGCCACACCCCTAGCCTCCCGACAATTCATTTTGCACTGATCTCATGTGTTACCAGCTAGCATAAAGGACGACTCATGGGAAATCTTTAAGGGGTTTTAATTCTTTAAACACTGTGTGACATGCCTTAAATTTGACCTTGTCTCATCTATAAATATTTAACTCCTCCTGGTACTCCAAACCATTCCACAGTCTCCTAATGACCCTGGGCCAAAAAAGCACAAACACTTGCCAAGAAGAAACCCACAGATTATTTCTTCATACAGAAGTTTCACTAAAAAAGAAATGCAAACAGAACAGAAAAGATGTTATTAGCATTTCAGATATCTATTTGTTCTGTGTTCTTTAGGTGCTCATTGGTTTCCTTTTGGGTAATTAGTATGAATGTCTTGCATAGCTAAATATGAAGCATCCTAAATCTGAAGATTAACTCAGTGGAAGAATTAAAAAATTTCAGTGACTTTGAACCCATATGGATGGAAGGGTGTATAACTGGATAAAACACATTGTTACGTTAGTGGTAGCTATGGTATAGCTTATATACGGGGTCCTCTAGGATGATGGTTTTAAGAGTTTTCCCATGGTAACCTCTAGTGAAATATGTTTACTCCTAGTAAAAATGCATTTTATATTGGGACATAAAATATGTATACACACCCATAGCCTAAGTCTCATTTCATGCTACATTATCTACGTTGTACTATGATATAATCAATTAAATTCTATTTTATTTATGAATGCTGATCAGGACATTCTAAATTGATTGAGCTATACTGATTTCATTGCCTACTCATGAGTTGCAACCAAGAGTTTGAAAAATATTTAGGCAAAGTAAACTGTGAATGAAGGAATTGGATTTTATTTTTGTGTATGTATATATGTGCACCAGTGGGTAACCAAACCCAGGGCCTCATGCATGCTAGGCAAATGCCCTACCACTGAGTCACACCCCTAGCCTGGAAGTTGGATATTTATATTGAAGGAAGTCCCCCTGTCCTTTACTTTCACAGGAAGGAAAGGTCATGTGAACTTAAAATAGGCAAGAGGAGGAAGAAGAAATTATACTCAGCAATATTCAAAGCTTTATCCTGGGCCTGGGGTTGTGGCTCAGTGGCAGAGCACTTTCCTAGCATGCATGAGGCATTGAGTTCTATTCTCAGCACCACATATAAATAAATAAAAAATAAAAGTACATCCACAACGAAAAAATATTAGGAAAAAAGCTTTATCCTTATGTTCATAATGACATCCTCAGGGGTTTCAGATAATACAGTGTCATTGTGATGCTTCATGTATGGTTAAATCTGTCCTTCAGTTTCAACAAATGTGAATTCCAGGGTGGATGTTTGCCATAATCACAATGCATGTGTTGAGGCTCAAAAAAAATGATACCCCAAAGTATGGCACTTTGCTGTGCTGTGTACTTGAACTGAAGGACGTTAGAAGGATCTCAGAAGCAACATCTTAACTGCCATTCTTCTGCCCTTCTGTTGCTCCCATTTTTCCCCCAAAGCAGGCCATAGAATTTAGAGCCTGTCTCCCCCAATTCAGCCATACAACCTAGAAATTCTACTCTGGTCTTCTGCCACCTTTCTGTGTAGGAGCTGGCCTTAAGGACATTCTCTGACCTGCCTTGTCTGATGGAAGGTCATAAGATCCTCATTCCAGGAAGGGTATTGCCCCACACCTGACAGGAAGGAATGGCATACACAGAAGCAAAGAAGAATCTGGACAGGCCTGTCTGGGTTTCCTCTCTCAGTCTCTTACTAGTAGGTCACACCCTTTCATCCAATCACATGTCTATACTGCCGTCTGGTTTTCACTGAACCTAAGCATTAAAAAGGCCAGTTTCCCCATGGATCTTTGGGTCTTCCTAAGGCTCCTGGGCCATGCTAAATTTTGATTAAATAAAGCCTGTTCTACTTTTCTCCTGTTAACTTGTATTTTGTTATAGGAGCATTGGTAGAGGCTGTTGTGGTGGACAGAAATCATTCATTTCTTACCCTACACATGTTGAGGCTGGCTTTTGTCCATTTAAGGGCTTCATTTGGTTTGTAAGGAGATATAATACCACTTCAAAAGCACAAAAATATTACTTACAAAACAGTTAAATTACTGCAGGAACTAAACGTCAAATTTCTTAAATTATGGATATGGTTGCCTTCAAAGTCCCTGGAATATAAAACATAAAACATGATCAAGCTAAATTTTAATTGCAGATAGAAATAAATTGATTAAGAATTATTTGTGTTCTAATAAAATATATTGTTCTTTTACATTCTGTTTATTTCATGTAGACCTTCACTTGTAGCCACTTACATAATACCATAAATTATAATGTGCATGTATGTAGGCATATATTAGCACTCTTACTGTTTTTTCTTTATTAATAATAAAAATGTTTTGAGTCACTCCTGTATCTTATATTCTTGGAGACATGTTATTCTGAGAAATTAAAGAGAATGAGAAATCAAAGTGAAAACCTTTGTTATGATAAATACCTAATTTATTAACAGATATTTAATAGTGAACACATTAAACAATTATTCAGAATTACCAAGTAGCATTTCCCTAAGTGATTTGATTTCATTTTGCTATAGGCTGTGTGAGATTCTATTATTGATGCAAAGCTGCTACTGCCAAGATAATATTAAGCACCTGCCTTGTTAGTCTAAATACTCCCCAGAAAAAAATCTTCAGTAGCTTTTTTGCCCCTGGGATTATACTCTTTTTCTTTCTTTTTTAATATTGTCACAAAAAGCACACCTTACCACCACAAGGAATCCTATCTGAACAACAAAATCTTATCAAAAAGTTTATTTATTTGTTATGGTGCTAATGATCAAACTTAGGACCTCTTGCAATGCCAGGCAAGTGCTCTACCATTGAACTATATTCCCTATCCTTTCATTTACAAGCAGATATATGTTAGAAGTTTGTAGAGACGACAGCTGAGGTTTAAGAAGACACTGCATTTCCAAGTTAAATCCTGGCTTTTAAGTCTACTTAGTGTGTCTGAACACTTAATTTACTGGTTACTAAGCTATTCACAAATTATTGTGATTGAAATATAGGGGTGGAAGTGTGATATAATTACTAAAATCTCTAAGGAAAACATGGGGAGCATTAATAGATATGCCTGTAGTCTGTCAGTGAGTCTGTGGTGGGAATGCTCAGTTTTATTTTGGGCACTGCATTAAAAATAGACACTGACAAAGCAAAATATATCAGGAAGATTTGTAAAACTGGGATTAAGTGATCTTGAAACTGTACCAACTGAAGAAAAGGGAGTATGTATTACAGCAAAGAATAAGTTAAGAGATATATTTGAAGTCAGGCTTTGAAAGAGATTAGAGTTTTTCTCTGTTTCATCAGAACACAAAATTAAATTTACTGGCTGAAGATACAAGTCATTTCAAACAGAAGCTCAACCTCTGTAGCAAGTTATGGCATTCAGAGAATGCTTCTCACTGGCATCTAGCAAAGGCAATATATCATATCTTGATAATTTTGTAGATAAGATTTCTGTGCTGCAAGGAATATTGTATTAGAATCAGAAATCTTTATTCTAGATAACACCTATATAGAAAAAGTTTTGTTATTCCATTAAAGTGGAAGGTAAGTGCTTATGGTATTACTTTCTTGGTCTTGGGTTTGGCCCAGGCTTTTGGCTTCTCAACGTCTATGGTCAATGACAAATTCTATGGTTTCCTTTTATTTTATTGTTGTTACCATGAAACTCCCACCAGGTGGCGATGTTCTTTCAAACTTCACAAAGTATAGAGTTGAGCTACATAGGTAACTGCTTTTTTTGCAAGGGGGGATAGATATTTTTTAAAATTACTTTAAGAATTTTGTTCTAATTAGTTAAATATTTTTAATGTATATTCTTAGTTGTATATGGACACAATACCTTCATTTTATTTATTTATTTTTATATAGTGCTGAGGATCCAACTCACTGAATTACAACCCTAGCCTACGTAACTTTTTTAAGCTTTAAGCAAAAATATTTATTAGTACTAATTTACTACTTTGTAAAATTCAATAAGAGGCACACACTGAAGCACTAATTAGGAAGTTTTTTAAAAAATATTTTTCAGTTGTCAATGGACCTTTTATTTATATGCAATGCTGTGAATCAAACCCAGTGCCTCACATCTGCTAGGCAGGTGCTCTACCACTGAGCCACCACCCCAGCCTCCAAATAGGCAGATTTGATTACATTTTTGTTTAATTTGATTTTGAGTTTATTTTAACCTTGAGTTATAAATTTGCTTTGGCTTTGTTCCTAAAATAAGGGAATCTGGTTTGTGAATATATATTAACCAAAGCAACAACAGCAACAACCAAAGAACAAAACAAAACAAAAATCTGCTTCTTGCTTCAAGGTCTAAGGGACAAGAGGTCATTTCCCCACAGAATGTCTAGACCACCTTTCCTAATTAGCAAGTCTCTGAATGTGACAATTTTATTTTTCCCTTTTTACATTGTAGAGCTGTATCAAAATGAAAAATTCACTATTTCTTTTTCTTTAAAAAATTTTTTTTCGTTGTTGATGGACACAATACCATTTTTTAAAATTCATTTTTTTTTTGTGGTGCCGAGAATTGAACCCAGTGCCTCACACATGCTAGGCAAGCTCTCTACCACTAAGCTATAACTGCCTACCCCCTTTACCAGTTCCTTCTTCCTCTCTGTCTCTCCCTGGCATGTGATGTAAATACTTTTGCTCTGCGTGTTCTCTCACCATGATGTGCCACTACAGAGCCAAAAATGCGACAATTGATCATGGACTGGAAACTGTGAGCCCAAACAATCCTTTTATAAGTTAATAATATCATGTATTTTGCTACCAGGACAGAAAGCTAACTAAATATAGGGAGTTTCTATTTTTATTTTTTTGAGCAACATCTATCCTGCTTTCCACAATGGCTTTGTTCCAGTTTCTCCACATCCTTGCTAACACTTATTGTCTTTTGATCAGGTTTCCTAAGAGGTGTCAGGTAATATCTCATCGTGTTTTTAATTTGCATTTTCTGATATCTGGAAGCCTTTAAAAATTTTTTTTGGCACTGGTGATTGAACCCAGGGATACTTAACCACTGACCACATCCTCAGCAATTTTTTTAATGTTTTATTTTGAGACAGGGTCTCACTAAGTTGCTGAGGGCCTTGCTAAATTGCTGTGGCTGGCCTTAAACTTGTTAAAGGTTTGATAGAGCCCTTTCTGCCTCTGACTCCTGAGTGGCTGAGATTACAGGTGTGCATAACCATTCCTGGTACCTTTTTGAGTCTTGAGAAATATCTATATGAGTCTTTGCCCAGTTTTCTTTCTTTTTAATATGACTAATATAGTTGGCCTTAGTTTGTTATTTTAAAATACATTATTATATGCTTTCATAGGTTAAAAACTTTCACTAGATTTTTTTTAATGTATTTCTTCTGATATTTAGCCAAATTTGAAAATTCTTGGTTGCCTTCATCATAACTTTACCCAATGCACTGAATCTTCGATTTCTTTCGACAATACTATTTAATTTCCTATTATCAGATATGATGAGATTAGTATATATTGTCTACGTTTTTGGTCCTCTACCTCTCTCTTGTCATATGATTTTGGTCATTTATATGCTATTTTTTTTTGGAGTTCACCTTCAGAATATCAAATATTCTTTCTAACATCCATCCATCTATGCATCATCATATTTTCAAGGACATCTTCTGATTCCTAGCTAATTTCTTTATAGTTCTATGGTTTTCATTTTATGTTTTGCTTTCTAAATTTTTTTACTCATCTAGGATTAGCATGTCTTTTTAAACAACTCTTTTATCCTTATAAAGTATTCTTATTTATCCTTAATATTCTGAAATCTACTTTTCCCATATTAGCATAGACCCTCTAAGTTTTTTTTTTTTTAATCACTGTTACATTTCCATCTCTATTTTGCAGTATGTGATATTTCTATTTTATTTTCTGGTTACCATATGAATTTTTTCTTTAGTTTAGGTTTTTAGCAGTTTGGTGATGGCTTTTTTAGTGTTTTTCCTACTCTGCTTGAGGTTCCTACATTCCTGGATTATTGTATTACTTTAAGTTTGGAAAATACTGGGCCTTTCTTTCTTTCATTTTTTAAAATAGTTTGCTTAGTTGTAAATGGACACAATACCTTTATTTTGTTTATTTATTTGTAGGTGGTGCTGAGGATCGAACGCAGTGCCTTACATGTGTGAGGCAAGTGCTCTACCGCTGACCCCAGCCCCTTTAGCCATTTCTTCTGTCCAGTTCTTCCTTTCTTCTTTTTCTGTGGTTTTACCTATACTTTTGTTAGACATTCTATATTTTCCTGCAGCTTTGGATTCTCTGTTTGGACTTTAACCACATTTTTGTTTGGATTTGAAAGTTTTCAATTGGCCTGTTTTCAAGGTCATCGATTCTTTTCTCAGCTGTGTTCTACTGCTAAGCCTGTTGATATCATCTTCCAACGTAATTTTATAATTTCCGTCTCTTTGATGACGTTTTCCATATGTTCATACATTTTGTTCACTTTTCCGCTTATCTTATTAATCATAAGTATTTTACTATCCCAACTTGGAAGCTGTAATTCTGAGCTATTGCCAGGTTGGGTTTTCAATTTATTGATTACTTTATAATTTTACATTGGACTTAGTTTTCCCTTTTTTAGGAAGTGGGACTTTCTCAGCATGGCTTCCTTTCATCCCCAGAAGCCAGTCTTATAAGACTATGGCTTGGATAGCATCCCCCAAAAGCCCATGTGTTAAAGGCTTGGTACCCAAGTGATGGTGTTATTAGGTGAAACCTTTAGGAGGTGTGGCCTAGGGGGAGGAAGTTAGGTCTTTAGGGGTATTCCCTTGGAGGGGATATTGTGACTCCAGTTCTTTCCTTTTTCTCTTTTGATTCCTGGCTACTATAAATTGAGTAGCTTTGTTCCATCAAGTATTCCCTGCCATGACATACTGCCTTGGTGCAGGCCCAAAAGCTATGGAACCAGCTGACCATAGACTGAAACCTCTGAAACCATGAACCAAATAAACCTTTCCTCTTTGTAAGTTGATTCTCTCAGGTATTTTGTCACAATGACAGGAGGTTGACTAACAGACAATTTCCTGCCCTGACCTAGAAGCTTTGTATCAGTGCAAGATCCTGGGATACAAAGGTTTTCTGCCAGTACCCCAGGACAGAGTGTTCTAGTCTCTCCCTCTCCTTTTGTAACAGTGGATCTTTCCATAATCCCTGGGTGCAGGAGGGTTTCCTGTTCCTCTTCCAAAACTTCTTAAGAGATGGTTTTTAGTCAAGAGAATCGGGTGGGGGAGGGGAGGATAAGGTTATATCTGCTGGGGGGGGGTGGTTTTATATCTGTGTGTTGTCAAGGAGAGCTGTCTAGTTTTTCGTGTGAGCTGGTGAGGCCAGTCAAAAGCAGCCTGTTATGGATAGTGGACTCCCCTGCATGCAGGGTTCTGAGTTACTCTAAAGTATTACACTAACCCATGCTTAATTGTATACGTTTATTAAAATTTCAGCAGTTTTCTTTGCACCTGCTCTCCTGATAGCCAACTCTTATCCCTACACTCTGCCAAAGGTGAAATACAATATATGTCCCAGCTCTCTTTGTAACTCCTTAGAATTCCAGTTACTTGGTTGTCTTATAGCTCTCTGATGGGCTCTTGAAAATTAGGATTTTGTAGATTATAAAGCTCTTTCTTATTGGGAGAGAGAGCGCAATATTGTCTTGTAGCTTTCTAAATCCTAAGCACAATATTGCTGTAATGGAATTGCAATATAGTATATGTACTAGTCTGTGAATTTCTCTCTATGAACCATATTATGTTCTTGAAATTGAGCCATGTTGACTGAAGTAGTGCTGTTTTATTAATTATCATGCTGTGTATGTGTGTGTATATCATGTTTTATTTCTCCATGATTATCTGTTTTCTACTGCCTTCCTCACCTGCATTTTCAAATTCTTCATATTGGCTTAGTCTGCCAATGGATAAATGACTTAGTTTCATCTCAGGATAAAAGTTTATTTCATTCTCTTGACCTTTGGGAGAGTACATTGGCTATTGTCCTATGTTCATCTGTTTTTAATTAATTTTATGTTTTACTTTTTGAATTTTCCAAACTTTATTGTGGTTTTTACATTTCATTCCTTTGAAAGAACTATATTAAAGATTTTAATCTATTATCTGTCAAGTATTGTGAAGCTAATTTCCTGAGCTGTTCTGTGTCTTTTTATTTTAATGTATTTTTTCCCTGAAATCTGAGTTAAAAATTTATTTTTGGCCAACAAATCTGTTTTTTAATTGCACTTTGCAAAATGGAAACTCATATGCAAAATAATGATATTGTAATTGGTTTTAAAGTAGAGGAATGCTTATGAAGCAAAAACTATTAATAACATTAAAATTGGGCTAATATTTACTATCAGTTACTTTTGATAGCTAAAATTTATAGATAATAACAAAAAATTGTAAAGTCCATCCTTTTAGTAATAAATCTTAATCATTTTGATGTCATCTGATACATGATATATATATTTTGCTGCATTTTAAAGGCAAAAGAAATATTTATTGTGATATACATATAATAACTCTCATATTTGTTTCTGATCCTAATGCACAAGTTTTTTTCTTAATGATGGGGACAGAACCCAGGGCCTTGCTCATGCTAGGCAAGTGCTTTACCACTGATCCACACCCCCATTCCCGAAATGCACAAACTTTTAATTGCTAATTTACTTATGTGAATGCTGATCAATTGTGCTTCATTATTAGGTTTGGATTGCTAGGCATGTAATAGCTGTTAATGTACTTCTCTGAAACAAAATTCAATTACAATGAAGAATACTGAATAAATTTGCCTGCCCTTTTATGACTAGCTTGTCATCAATGTTAACTGTCATACCAAGGTATCTCCTGGACTTAAAACTCCAAAAAGACTTTTTTACTAAAATCATCTCTTAATCAAATTTCTAAGGCTATTTATAGTTCTAACAATTTTTAAAAAATTGTAGTGGATACAATACCTTTATTTATGTGGTGCTAAGGATCGAACCCAGGGCCTCACATATGAGAGAAGAGTGTTCTACCAATGAGCCACAATCCCAGCCCCTAATTCTAACAATTTTATAAAACATTTTGTTATCTACACTGTCAGCCCATCAAAACTGAATATAGTCTCACTATTGCATTTTATGGAAATGTTTTTAAGTACATCATTACTGCCATATATTACTCTCAGTAAAGGGAAAAATCATTTATGTTAAAATCACCTCTCACAACCCATTGTAGATAGGCCCATGATGATTGGCCAGTAATTATTTTTGTGAAGTTTCTTTTTCCCAAAGTGGTTCCAAGTTAGTATATTTTGAAAAAAAATATCTTTGCTTTTCATGCATGTCTCACTTGTGTTCTATTATCAACTTGAGAGTTGATACTTCCCACTACAATCAATGTTTCTAACTCTTTTACCCTTCCTTTTATTGGGTACTTCTAAACTGCTGTGAAGATAGAGATCAAACAACCACTTCTGGGAATTCCTTATAAAATAAGAGGCAGAAGGAGTTTTTATATATGTAAATTAGTTTGTTGATTAGCCTTTAAAATAGTTATTTTGGTTATTTTTAAAATTTTATATTTTTAGAGAGAGAGATGAGACAGAAGGAGAGAAGAGAGAGAGAGAGAGAGAGAGAGAGAGAGAGAGAGAGAGAGAGAAGAGGGGGTTATTTCTTTATTTTTTTAAACCTATATTTTAAGTAGACCAATTTACTGGATAATAAAATTAAATTCTGGATAGCAGAGTGACACTCATTATTAAAAGCAAAGTTATTGTATAAAAGTCCCACGGAATGCGATGGACATTATTACCCTAAGTACATGTATGAAGACAAGAATGGTGTGACTATACTTTGTATACAACCAGAGACATGAAAATTGTGCTCTATATGTGTAATATGAATTATAATACACTCTGCTGTCATATATAACAAATTAAAATAAAAAAAATCAAGCACCAAAAAATATGTTCCATGGAACCTATTCTAATTAGCCTTGAAAGATGAGTACTACATATCATATTCTCAATATTCAGATTAAATTCTTAAATGAATGGAACTAAAATGATCTAGTCTTTTTGTAACAACTTAATAGGGAAGATTGGTGGGGGAAGGGAGAAATATTATGTAGATCCCATTGCATCCCTTTTGCCTTTCTTTTTCCTGGTTCTCAAGTTGTTGTTGTTGTTTTGAGATATTTCATGTTGGTGAGAGTTTAGAGAAGTTAGATCATGGGGATATAAAATACAAAAATAGGCCAAAGTAACTTGAAAAAATGTGATGTGATAATAGCAATACAAGATGAATATACAAGATGAATTAGGCAACGTAGAGATTTTAGTCGACTTCTTTCAAATGAGATACCATCACTTACAGCCAATGTAGCTTTGGCATGTGCTGACAAAGTTTATCTGGCAAATGTGTCAGGACATTATTCATCAGCACCCTGAAAAAGAAAAGAAACCAAAGATGTCACATTTTTTTTTTTCTGGTTCTTTTCTTAAGGTACACATGGTATTATCATTATTCTTATAAAACCATGCAAATCTATGAAGTTAGTTGTCTTCTCTATTTACTCTGTGAGTCTTGTTATATTTAAATGCTTGATACTAATAAAATTTCTACAAATAGCAGTTATCATATGGAGGAAGCAACAAAGTTAGTAACTGAAAAAAGATGATTTTAAGTGAATTTGCTTTTCTTTACTGAGATCAATGTGTGGTGGTAATGGTATGCTTAAGAATAGTTCAACAAAATGTGATAGACTATATTCAGTTTTGACAGACTGACATTCTAGAATAAAAAAGTTCCTTTTTTTTTTTTCCGGGGGGTACAGGGGATTGAACTCAAGGGCACTTGGCTATTGAGCCATATCCCCAGCCCTATTTTGTATTTTATTTAGAGACAGGGTCTCACTGAGTTGCTTAGTGCCTCGCTTTTGCTGAGGCTGACTTTGAACTCGTGATCCTCCTGTTTCAGCCTCCTGAGCTTCTAGGATTACAGGCATGCATTACTGTGAAGACAAAAATTGTTACAATTATAAATAGCCTTAGAGAATAAGAATAAGAGATAGTTTTTAGTTGGAAGAGCTTTTTTGGGGTTTTAATAATTCCAAGTTTAATGTTATTATGTTTAAAGCATTATTTTTTATTAATTTTTTAATTTATATATGACAATGGTATGTATTACAATTCTTTTTTTCCCCCCCAGTCTGGATTACTTTATTATTAATTTTTTTTCATATCTCTGGTTGTATAGAAAGTATATTCACACCAATTCATGTCTTTATACATGTACTTTGGATAATAATGTCCATTACATTCCACCATCATTTATAACCCCATGCCCCCTCCCTTCCCCTCCAACTCCTCTGCCCTATCTAGAGTTCATCTATTCCTCCCATGCTCCCACTTCATACCCCACTATAAATCAGCCTCCTTAAATCAGAGAAAACACTTGCATTATTATTTTTTTTGGATTGGCTAACTTCACTTAGTATTATTTTCTCTAACTCCATTCATTTACCTGCAAATGCTATGATTTTATTCTCTTTTATTGCTGAGTAATATTCCACTGTGTATATATGCCACATTTTTTTAATCCATTCATCTATTGAAGGGCATCTAGATTGGTTCCACAGTTTAGCTATTGTGAATTATGCTGCTGTAGTCAGAGAAATGCAAATCAAAACTACCCTAAGATACCATCTCACTCCAGTAAGATTGGCAGCCATTATGAAGTCAAACAACAATAAGTGCTGGCAAGGATGTGGGGAAAAGGGTACACTTGTACATTGCTGGTGGGACTGCAAATTGGTGAAGTCAATTTGGAAAGCAGTATGGAGATTCCTGGGAAAGCTGGGAATGGAATCACCATTTGACCCAGCGATTGCCCTTCTCGGACTATTCCCTGAGGACCTTAAAAGAGCATACTATAGGGATACTGCCACATCGATGTTCATAGCAGCACAATTCACAATAGCTAGACTGTGGAACCAACCTAGATGCCCTTCAATAGATGAATGGATAAAAAAAATGTGGCATGTATACACAATGGAGTATTATGCAGCACTAAAAAATGACAAAATCATGGAATTTGCAGGGAAATGGATGGCATTAGAGCAGATTATGCTAAGTGAAGCTAGCCAATCCCTAAAAAACAAATGCCAAATGTCTTCTTTGATATAAGGAGAGCAACTAAAAACTGAGCAGGGAGGAAGAGCATGAGGAAAAGATTAACATTAAACAGAGACGAGTGGTGGGAGGGAAAGGAGAGAGAAGGGAAATTGTATGGAAATGGAAGGAGACCCTCAATGTTACACAAAATTACATATAAGAGGTTGTGAGGGGAAAGGGGGGGAAAACAAGGAAGAGAATTGAACAACAGCAGATGAGGTAGAGAGGGAAGACGGGAAGGGAGGGGAGGGGGGATAGTAGGGGATAGGAAAGGTAGCAGAATACAACAGTCATTAATATGGCATTATGTAAAAATGTGAATGTGTAACCAATGTGATTCTGCAATTTGTATTTGGGGTAAAAATGGGAGTTCATAACCCACTTGAATCAAATGTATGAAAGATGATATGTCATGAGCTTTGTAATGTTTTGAACAACTAATAAAAAAATTGTGCTGCTGTTAACATCAGTGTGGCTGTGTCCCTATAGTATGCTGTTTTTTTTTTTTTTTTTTTTTTAAGTCATTTGGGTATAGACAAAGGAGAGGGATGGCTGGGTCCAATGGTGGTTCCTTTCCCAATTTTCCAAGGAATCTCCATACTGTAAAGCATTAATTTTTATTTATGTCTTTCCCTTAAATTAAAATGTCTCCTTTAACTTAGTACTTACAAGAGAATAAGAGAATTTAGTCCATAAAATGTTAGTGGGGAAATTCGACTGAGGTGATTATCTTCAATTATCCTGCCAGGCAGAAGAAAAAAAAAAATGGATTCACTTATCTATTTTTAGAACATAACAACTAATACTACGGAATGCCACATAAATTAAACATACAGCCATTCTAGTCTGTGAAGGTCTTCAAAAACACCTGGCTTCAGGAAGGTTATTCGGTTATGACTGAGGTACCTAGAAGAGGAGAAATGACTGTGATAAATCTGTACCTTTTTGACACTTCATAATTAGGAAAGTAAAATAGCTATCATTCATTTTAAACGTTCTCATCTCACATTCTTACCCTGCCATTTCCCTGCCTTTGAATCTTTAGGAGTGCCTGTTAATTACTGTATCATCTCCAGCTTTAAATTTCCCCCATAATAATCAACCAGTTTCTTTTCATTGACCTCATTTATCCATCAACTTGTTTTGAGTACCTTCTCTATGACTACTGTGGTTTGGAGAAGTTTTCCCCAACGGTCCACAGGTTAAAGGCTTTGTTCCCAGGGTGGTGCTTTTGGAAGGTGCTGTGGATGGAAGATGGGGCCTAGAGAGAAGTCCTGAGGTCATTGGGGGGTGCGACTTTGAAGGGGATTGGAGGACCCATGGCTCCTTCCTTTTTTCCCCCCCTCCTTTTTCCCTAGCCACCTGCACCTACCATGATGGCTTTAGGTAGGCCTAAAGCCCTGGGGCCAATCTATCCTAGATGGCAACCTCTAAAACTGTGAGCCCAAATAAACCTTTCCTCTTGGCAAGTTAATTGCCTCAGGTATTTCATGATGGTGACACAAAGTTGAGTCACACAATGATTACTGTGCTAGGTTTATCATCCTATTCTCTGTGAGGCTTTGAATCGGAAGAGGAGACAGGATGTGGATGGGCTATTATGCAACATACAGAAAACAGAGGGAAACGTATCCTGTAGGGTTGTTCTGACACTGCAGAGCAGAAAGCACCCGATTTGCGAGTGTTTAGAACTAAAGAGCACAGAGGAACGAGGAGACAGAAAAGTCTCACTAAAGGAAGCACAGCTGAGAAAGGTCTTGAACGAAGGCTTGGCATTCCCAAAGCAGGAGTTGTTTTAGACAGAGGAAATAGCTTCTGCAAAGACAAGAAGTACCAAGAGTAACAAGTTAAGGCCTCACCAGGTAACGTAGTGAGGCCTCATCATGAAGGAAGACAGACAGGAGATGGGCCTGGAAGAGCTGGGGGCCTGTTCTGGGGAAAGGTCATCGCATGTTTTCTTAAAGAGCTTGACGCCTCACCCATCCCACTTGATTTCTCCCCTGCAAGTGGACAAACTCTCTGTTATACTGTGTACATCTCTTCCTTTAGCCATGTTCATTTCTATCTCAGTCTCTCCAGTGTGATCATCCATACTTATCTGCTATGAGACAGTTTGATTCCTTACTCTTCTGTTTATTAAACATGACCTTGACCAAGCAATCCATTCCTGTAAGCTTCAGCTTCCTCAACTCTAGAACGGGCACCGTATCAACCTTACTTCATAGGGCTGTTGCGACATCTGGGGCAATGCGTGCCATAGCACTCTGTAGGTATTATTTATTAAAACAATGTCTCTGAATTTTCCACTCCAATTTCTTTTTCTTTTTCCTCTCTGCTTGTGGTTAATATTCAAGTTATTAGTTCAAATTTCACTCCCGTGGATATATGGAACCTATAGATTTCTTTTCTGTACTCTTACGTATTAGAGTTGACATCCTATAAAATCTTGCCAGGAATCTGTTCTTCGTTGCCAGATTTGACTTTTTTCTTGGCTGACCCCCCAGGTTAAAGCCACTTCCTTCCCTCCTTTGTAAACCTGGAGCCCATCTGGCCTAGGCATGGGTAAGAAATAGCTTTAGGAGCCAGGTGCAGCGGCGCACACCTGTAATCCCAGTGGTTTGGAAGGCTGAGGCAGGAGGATCCTGAGTTCAAAGGCAGCCTTAGCAATGGTGAGACACTAAGCAACTCAGTGAGACCCTGTCTGTAAATAAAATACAAAATAGGGCT